ATAATAATAATAATAATACATACTAAGTAAATAAGTTTTTTTTTTGCCGCACTACAAATGTTGTCTGAAAGGTACCTTTAAAGAATGAAGGTGAGAATAAAAAGAAAATGGGAGGAGGCAGTGATGATTGAGCCACCCCCCTCTCTCTATCCCATCTCTCTTTTATTCCCCTCTCCGTCTCTTCTACGTCGTCTCTCCTCCCTCTCGCTCTCTCCTATCTTCTCTCTCTCTCTTGGTTTTCCGCTTCCTCTTCTCCGTCTCTTACCTCTCGTACCTCTCTCTGCTCCCCCCCCTCTCTCTGCATTGTGAATCAGCATCTTTTCCTCCTTTCACCATTTTCTTGTGTCTGCAGCTTGGCCACCAGCCGAGCGACAGACTAAAGCGATAGAGGACAGAAGAAGAGAGGGATGGAGAGGAGGATGTGTGACTAGAAGCCAGACATGAGCAGAGCTCTCAGACATCCACAGTGATGACGAGAGGAAGGCGAGAGACGAGAGAGAAAAAGGGTGGAAAGACAGGGAAGCTGGAAGGAAAGAAGGTTAAATTTTGAGAAAAAACAAGCAGAGAAGAAGAGCAGGAGGACTTCTCTGCATGATGAGATGATGAAGCAGTAACAGTAGGAAGCAATGATGGGTCTTGTATCGCTGCTGGCTCACGTGACGATGATGTCACTGAGGCCCCGCCCTCTCTCTCCATGTGACATCTCGCAGAGCTCCAAGGCCGTGTCCGAGACGCCAGCCATAGCAACCGTATCCGAGGACGAGGATGAAGACGAGGCTGAGCCCCCGCCGGTGATCGCCCCCCGACCAGAACACACCAAATCAGTAAGGATGCACACACTCTTTCTATACTTGTATGCACTGATACAATGCATTCAAGCTCATACACACACACACACACTACAACTACTGCTGTTTAGTATGAGGCTGATCCATCATGGTAAACACACTCTTTTAGTTGTATACAACATTCACTGCCACTGTGTCGCTCTAGAGCACCAATATCTTAGACCAAAACAATGGCTGCCACGGCCACCAGACAACACTGAGAAAACCAGTAATTTTATCTAGCAGATAATCGAAAAACACGATTCAAACTGTCACCAACACCAGTTTAGTCGAAATAAACCTTTAATTCACTGAGTTAGACAGGCTTAGACGCTTATGCTAATTGTCTGACAACACTAGTTGAAACACTTTTAGGGATTTCCCCCTTAAGAAGTTAAAGTTTAAGTAAAAAAGTGAAGGCAAATGTGAGACCAAAGGCACACAGGAGGGACAATCAATAATGCTAATACTTGGGGAAAGATGAATGAAAGTTAGAAATAAAATAGAAAAAGAAACGAGGCAAAGACAAAGACAGGTCTAAAGGTCTTCAAACTGGATATATTTCTCTAGGGGAGGATGATGATGATTGATTTTATGTTATTTTCGTGTCATGCACACAACATGCTCACCGCTCGTAGGTTTATAAAACACCTAAAATACAAAATTACAGATTATAGATTATTATACGGCTCGGTCTTAAACAAAATATTCGGCTTCTCTCCCAAGCTTGGCACAAAAAGTTTGCTACAAGAAAGCCTTCCAACAGTTTAAGTTTGCGATAATCAGGCTATTGATTAGAAGATCACGCAATTATAAACACCAACTGATACAGTACAAAATGATACAGAGATATGGTATGGTATTTAACCATCAGATAGGGTTTGTTTTTTTCCAATTGGATTATCACAAGATGGATACCCTCACATACTCTATCTATTAGTCAGTGGTTATCTTCCCTCCATAACGTATTAGTCTAGGACTAGACTAGGAAAATTAATAAAAAGTTCACAAAAAGGAAAAATAATAATCATCCAGCCAAAAGAAATCATCATAAATGGAGGCCATTTTACTAAATGTACTACTAAGTGATTTTAATCCTGTCTGGAGCTCATATGTCTGTGATTTTTAGCCCCTGACCCGGGTCATAATAACAACCCCATTTACCTAATGTCTTCCAGTAATGTTAGTACAGTCTGGAGAGACCTTTTATACACAGTGCTGCGTTTACTGGCACTCAGTGTAATCAGCTTAGCACACACTGTGACAACTAAAGACGTAAAAAAAGGAAGGAATTTATCTCCACAAACAAACAAATGTTTACTTAACTTTTTTAACTTTACTTAATTTTGTATGTTTGCTATGTTTACTGGATTTATTGATTAATCAATTGATTAATGGTAATATTAGATATATCACAAACATTCATACAGACATACATGAAAGGACTTACTATATAGTGTCTCAGCCTAAAGCGACAATACAATATTGCACCGTTATTCTGAGACACACACACACACACACTGTCTCTTTGCACTAAACAGTCCCAGATGAGTCATTCACTGATGTCCAGGTAGCAGTCGTTTATTAGATTTCTCACACTCATTAATCTTTAAATGGACCTGTCGTCTGTCTCACTTCAGCTCTCTAATGAGACCATGAGGACCTGTGTGTGCGTGTGTGTGATGGTCACAAGGGAAGCAGAGGTTTTTTATTTAGAAATATTTATTTTCTAAGAAGCTTTCTGTTCTCTGTAAGGTCAAATCAGCAGAACACACATACACACACA